TCATTAAAATTATCTTTACATTTGCATAAGAAAGCACGATCAGCCGACAGGTCGTTGCTGTAAACCTTTGTTTGTCTTTGTCTCTGATCAAACTGTAAACAAAAGCAGGCGAGGAGACAACAATGGAATCGTTCATGTTTTATAAATACGAGTCTTTACTTCGACTCCGGCGTGTGCCGGGGCTCCGTGATTCTCTCTGTACATTTTATACATCTTTACATGTTACGTTAGCATTTTATTTCCTTCATTCTCTGCGTTTCAGCGTCCTAAATGGCGCCTCCTCGGTCCCCTCCGCCGCCTCCTCCTCCTCCTCCTGGTCCCCTTCGAGTTCTGAAGTCGTGCCAAAGTTTGACGAAAGGTTCTCGGTTCTTCCAGATCAACTCGTGGCCGAACAGAACGTACCAGCTGAGGAGAGAAGAACAAGTCTGATTAAAACACGTCAGCGAGGAGGCCCTGGTCCCGCTGCTCCTCCTCGGCGGGCTCCCTTTCTACAGCTCGCGTCTACAGTCTCGCTCTTTTCGTCACTCAGGAACACAAACAGGAAATCGACAGCTTTGCCTTCACACTTCCTCTTCTACTTATTAACCATCTAATCCAGAGATGTCAAACATAAGTCCCGGGGACCAGAATCAGCCCGGAAAAGACTGCAGTCTGGCCCACCGGATGGCTCTGGAAAATGTCAAGGAAGCCACAAATTTTGTACTTTTAACTGTATTTTCACGTTTTACAGCTGTTCCTATGGATACAGACGTCGCCCACGGCCATTCACACTAAACCAACGTGATTAAGTAATAAAGTTCAACAATTAAGTGACAGAAAAAGGTTAAAATTAACCTTTATAAATAAAAAATCGACTAACTTGCTAACTTACATTCCAAACATGGCTCCTCCTAAATGAGCAGCGTGGTCGAAAAACCTCCATCCAAGCACCAGGCCTGCGGTATCCATGGCAACAATGGCCTTGAGAGCCTGCAGACAGACACGGAAACAGAGTTCAGTCAGGTCAAAGCCAGCAGGAGCAGCTGGAGCTCAGGTGGGTTGCAAAGCAGCTTGCAGATGTGCAGCAGCTGCAGGTGGGCTGATGTAGAAGATGACAAAGAGATCTCTGTCCAGGTGGACTGGGCGAGGAGAGGGGTGGGCGGGGTCTTACGTTGCCAGCGGTGAAGGTGAACATGGGGAGGAAGATGATGGCCAGTTTGGCTTCAGGTATTTTGGTACAAACAGCAGCGAGGACGGTCATGATGGCGCCGGACTGAAAACAGAAACAGGAACTTCAGGCTGTTTATTTATTGAGAACATTTACAGACGTCCACCAAAGAAAATCGCTCAAAACAATCACATCAGTGTTCGCTCTGACCTCCTAAAATCTACACGTCCTCTAAAATAAAACCATAAAACTGACGTGAGCGAGGTGCAGTTTGACCTGTGAAGCCGTCACTCACCGCCCCGAGAGACGGGCCGAACCTCCCCGTGGCCATCTTGCACACATAACTGACAAACGTAGAAATAACACCTGAAAACAGAAGAAATAAAATCAGCATCACACTCATAAACAAACACAGATAATCTCAGAGATTACACCAGAGCGAAAAGCACCTGCCGACAGGTACACGGCCATGAACTGCTCCCGGCCCAGCATGGAGACGGCGCTGGTGGAGAAGCTCCAGAGGACGTACATGTTGGCCGCCATGTGGAAGAAGGAGAAGTGACTGAAGGTGGAGAGAATCATGGGAGAGCACAGAGTCCCTGCGGGGCAACAACAAACAGCCACAGTTACAGAGGCTCGACCGGAGAACGAATCGTGGCGGCGGTGGCGAGACTCACTGGAGGCCGGATTGGCGGTGAAGTATCTGATCATGAAGCGCTGCAGCGACGGCACTCTCCAGCAGCAGAACACGATGGCGTTAGCAGCAATGATCCCTGGGAAAAAAGCAATTCAATCCAGCAACCGCCATGTGAAAGTTCAGCGCTTTGCTCGTGAGCACTGCGGCACCGACTCACCCGTCACCGTCCTCTGGCCCTCGCTCAGGCTGTTCCACCATTGGTTGATCTGAAACACAGACAGCCAATTAAGACTCAGATCAAAGTGTGGGTGGAGCCCGGTTACAGGCGACGACGTCGAACCCTCACCTCTTTGCGGATGTCTCCTCGTTTCTGAGGTCGCACCTTGTCCAGCCAATCGGCTCGCAGCTCGTCAAAGTAGCCCTGCACTCGAGACTTGAGGGACTCGTACTGCCAGATGGCCGCCGAGCCGAAGGAGCAGCCTGTAAACTGACATGGAGTCAACACCTGTCCGTGACATCATCAGCGTGACATCATCATCGCCACCGAAACAACATCACCTACCCCGACGGTAAAGACGAGCGGCCTGACGAGCCGGCCGAAGGCGCGTGGGGGACTGGGCGGAGCTTGATGGTCCCAGTGAGGAGCGGGGGTCCGGCGCTGGGCCGTGGCTTCAGAAGACTCGCTGTGGGCGGGGCCTAACTCCTCTTCCACCTTCTTGGACTCGGGTTTCTTTGCAGCTTTCCTGAAGCCGCATCTCTGCTGGAAGCTTTGAGGCCACCTGGTGGACAGACGAGGAATCACAACTGTAAGAAAAAAGTTCCCTTTAATGAAGCGCCAGCTTCCTCCTACCATGACCACAGACAGGAAACACAACCTGAACCTCAAAGGCCACAAGGGCCAATCGCTTTTGGAGAAAAGCAGAAAATACTTTAAGCCCAAATATCTGTCAGGAACTCCTCGGGACACTCCGGTTTGAACGCTGTAAACATCAATGAGCTGAAACAAAGCTGCGAACAGAGGGGATCCAAATTCCTCCACAGTGACGTGAGAGGCTAAAGTCACACAGAACCCATCGCTGCCAAACGAGGCGCTGCATGCCAATGGCGTGTGTCACACAGACGTCCTCATTTTGGCTTCATTTTTGGTAAAAAGATGCCGACACGGTGGAATGTGTCACCTTTAAATGCATTCATCTCGATTTAAGACATACGAAGCCAGTTCAACTCACCCATCAGGCTTCACTAACCCAACACCGGCGGTCACGTGAAGCTGGTTATCAACTCGCAAGGTTAACCTACAATTTGGCAACAATTTGGCAACATTTGACCAATCACACTGACGTCACAGCAGCTGATTTTACAGAGGAAGTGTGAACTATAATAATATAAAAACTATAATAATACAGAATGTAGGAAAGACAGCTGCTGCAGATAAATCAGCGGTGTGAGAAGAAACGCTCTGTGTGCTAGTTTAATGTGTAGAGCGCTGCGTGCGTCAGTAAGACAGCTGCGAGAATAATAAAGTTTAGCTGTTTGAATGCAGGAAAATTAATTTCATTAAAATTATCTTTATATTTGCATAAGAAAGTTTTCATTTGTATTCTTGCCCATGCAGCACTGATGGTTTTTAATGGTTTGAGAGCAGAAAATAAAATCCAAATGCAAGCTTATTCTACCTGCGACTGATATACAGTACAAAGCACTGAGCTGATTTATAAATATGTTTACTGAACAAAAAATGTTGTTTCCTGTCAAAAGGCAAAAATAATTAAATGAAAAAATCATTAATAAATAACCAAAGGAACAAAGTTGTATCGAAGAATCTACATTTATTACTGACGCTCCACACACAGGAAAGACGATGGTAATTTCTGGAGATTTGATTGGTCAGTAGGTGGTGAGCAGGTTGTGTTCACAGCACAAGTTACCATGGTGACTTCTGCCAAGGACCAGACTCAATTCATCTTCCTGTGATTAGATAAAACCTTCCCGCTGAGAGTGGGTGCACTTTCTTTTTATTATGACTGTAAATGCACCAGTGTGTCAGAGTATAAACATCCTGCCAACCTTTTAATTATCTAAGGATTAGCTGCTGTCTCCTTTTACCAGCAGGCCTCAGACTGAGCAACAATCCCAAAAACATTTTTACCACAAACTTCTGGTTTTATGTCACTGAATCCATTTAGTAACTTTTGGTCATTGCAGGGTCCGAGTGGACCGCTTGTGGATTATAAATAAAGCCACATAAAGCAGCACAGGTCAGCTGGCCACAGGAGATTAACCCCTGGGTTTTAGGGCACCGACGGAAGCAGCGTCCCTCTGCACTGAGCCGGAGGGAGGACCTGAAAGAGTTTCGTAAGAACTGCATGTAATGTGCATGTATGTAAGGGGGCACACTGGGGTGTTTAAATAGGACAAACAGCTTTACATCACCGGATAATTAGATAAACATACACACACGCTCAGGCAGCTCCCCTCTTGTTAGCAGCGGCTAACGTTAACCTGCTAACAGCCCGTTAATTCTAAACTGTCCTTGATGCTAACGGAGCTAACTCCGGCAGCGAGGATCTGTCTGTTTGTAACCCGGGACGGGCTGCTCGCCCCCGCCTGTGGGGACTGACCTGCCACCCCTCACGGAGCTCCGTAAGCCTTCATCTCCGGTCAGTCTGAGCAGGACGGAGCAGCTCCTCCACGCCATATTGGAGCCCGATGACCCCGACAGGTCGGCCGAAGGGCCGCCTAGCAGTTGTTCATTTCCGGGTCACCAAGGAGCTCCGGCACCGTCAGCGACGCCCGCAGGACAGAGGCGGATACTGCACACAATTGAATCAACAAAATAAAATCCTCAACACGAAGCACAACATCCGCCTGTGATCTTCAAAGTAAAACGCTGCCAAAGTCAATACAACGAAATTTGATATTTATTTTCAGAGTGAAACACAAAAAATGCAGATGAGTGTCAGAGGAATAATGAAAAAGTGTTCTGGTACTGATTTTAAGAACAAGGTATGAAGATGAAGATATGAGAAAGAGTGGTTGAGAAGAAGAGAAATGGCGATCACCGAGGAGCAGTGTACTTTAAGAGTGTTGATGGAGAAGTACAGAGAAGGTGATGAACTGTGGATCTACAGAAAGTATATGATGAGAGTATGGAGCAGGTGGATGAGACTGTAGAAGAGAAGAAGAATGAAAGTAAATAGAAGCAATGAGCAGGAGAAAGGTGGAAATGTGAAGAGAAGTATTGAAGATAGATACCCGGGAGTCAACCACCCAAAGGAAGGGACAGTGCACAGGAGAGGTGGTAGAAGTAGAGGTTGCAGGCAGGGTGGAGTGAAAGGAAACAAGTGTCTGATATGACCGATACTTATGGCAGAAAAATAGCACCAAGAGTGAAAGAGAAGGTTTAAAAGATGATAGTGAGACCTGCTGTGATGCATGGTTTGGAGATGGATGTTGAAGGTGGAGCTGCCAGAAGGAAAACAGAAAAACCTCTGAGGTGATCCATGAATACAGAGGAGGGTGCTGGGATAGGTGGGTGGGTGAGATGGAAGCAGATGGTGAACGCTGATAATAATATAATATAATATAATA